TATATATTATTTATAATTAATTTTAAAAATTATTTAATATATTTAGGATACAATATGATATGCAATATTACATTCTCAAATTATAATACCTATTTCAATGTAACAATCATGTTGATTTTTTAAAAAACTTTTACTTTGTGGCTTATAATTATCCAAAGTTTGACATATATATATATATAACTTTTTTAAAGTTTATCCTTTTATTTATAGTTAAATTTATAATAAACTTTTATCATCTTTTACGGTAGAGAACTTATTAATCATTCTAATGATAACATCTAAATGTAGCATTTCTCCCGTTTCATTTCTTTGATCATCTTTAACGAAAATATTATTATCTTTTAAGCTCTTCATTAGTGTTACACTTAAGTGGTCATTTCAATAGCTACATAGTAGGTCTTAGCGACGTTGCCACCCACAAGGTAGAAAAGGTAGAATCTTTCCAGACATGTGATTCACTACTCAACTCTCTTTACTTTTTTTAACTGCTTTTTGCTCTCTCTTATTTACTTACTTCTGATATACCTTACTAATTTGAGCATTGGAGCATATACCCGAAAATAACATTTTAATCATCAGATAGAATACATTAATTTATAGGTAGAGAGAGGAATAATTTTTGTTTCTTTAATTAATAATTATTATTCATACACTCTATTAATGTATGAGTTATTAACAAAATAACTCTCTTTTTAGTTTTTATTTGATCAATAGGAGTTTTAACAAGCAATAAATATTAAATCATAATTATCTTTTAAATGAATCAAAAGAGATTTACTTAAGTTAGATAATGACACGTTGACCCATAATTTCTAATACCTTTCATATATGTATGTGTGTGCGTAAAAAATCTACTTACACTAGTATAATTTTTATACATTTTTTTTTATACTTGGATCAAAATTTAAAAATATTATTACTATTCAAATGAGTCATAAATTTAATTTTAATCTAAGAATCTAAAAAGTGTAAAGTTATATTAGTGTAAGTGGATTCCTATTATATATATATGTATATTTTCTTTTTTATAGAATTGATATATATAAATGTGTGTTTATATGTATTTATATATTATAAGTATATATTTATATTATAAATTTTTACGATAAATGGTAGAAATATCACTTTTAAGTTGTATAATACAATAATAAAATAAGTTTACTAAAGATGATTTTGGGTTAAATTGGATTTTCCCTAATTGAAAAATTATCAATTTGCCATTCGCATAAGTTTATAAGTTCTGAAAATTAAACCTTATTTTATAAGTATTCACTTTTTAAGAGAAGTAAATAAACCATTTGAGTAAAGTTCTATTTTTGTATTCAAATAATATATATTTATATATATATATCATTGTGCAGGTAATTATAATTCATCATCATCAATGAAAATGGTAATAAGAGAGCTAATTAATAACAATTATGATTCACATTTATATTATACTAATATTATGAGTTTGCTTTTGTCTCCTCACTTCTTTGATGAAGTCAAGTCTTCTATGAGACTTGAGTGGTTTCAAGAATCATGAAACACATGAAGCAAAGCAAGAAACATATTGAAGAGTCAAGCCTTCGCTGAGACTTGAGTGGTTTCATGAATCATGAGACACGTAAAGCAAAGCAAGAAACATATGTGTACGACGCAGAGTCAAGAAAAGCATGTATGAATAATGAATTGAAGACTAATTCATTAGCACAATATCCCATTAATTGTTGTACTATGCAAAAACAATCATTTTCTCCCTTTCATATATATATATATATATATATATATATGAGTGATTTCACATTTTTAATTTTTAGATATTGTTAATATTAAGGTTCATTACAATTACAGAAATTATTCAAATTATATATACATATCATTTTCTTTTTTTAAAAATTTTTACATTAAAATTTTATTTATATTCCCTCCATCAAATTTGCATTTTCTCTATTTGATTTTTATGGTATTTAAGAATATTACTTATTAGACTTGAGGTATTTTATATTAAAAACTTAAGTTTATTAGATAAAACTTATATTTTGAGGTTTTAAATATAAAAATGTATTAAAAAATCAAAATGATTTTGGAATATACTCGTACATAAAAGTAAAAGTATTTTGTGTTGCAAAATGCAAAGATGATAATTTTTAAAATATCCAAATAGGAAATGATAGATAAAGAAAATGAGATAATAAAAGTATAATTAATTACTAATTAGAAATGAATTGAAAATAAGAAATAAATAACAAAAAAAAAAACTTAGAAGTGATGATTGAAGACATATGGAAAGATAAGTATAATCTCGTAAAGATGATAATATGTAGTCTAATTAAACATTGAAGTTGAACACTTATTATTTAATTTTGAACAATTTAAATTAAATTCCCTTTTGAACAATTTAGAAAAAAAAAAAAGAAAAGAGAAAAGTTCCTATTAATTTATTGTGTAGCGTGACAATGGGATTGAAACAAAAAATGCACCAAATGATGTCCTTTTTCTGACTTCACTAGTGCCTGGTGTGCCCAATGTTCATTCTCCATTTTTGTCTTTTGAATGACTTTGCTTGTAAGAAATTACAAAGGCTATAAACTTTAAATAGTATAAAACAACACCAATGCAAAGATAACATATAATATTGTATAGAAATAAAATTATTATAATTAAAGGAAAAAAAGCCGTGGTCTATGAAAAGAGATGGTGTTATATACGTGAGAAATTGAACTTTAAACTTGTTAGATATTATATTTCAATAATAATTATATGAATCAATTGAGATGAATTTTAAATTAAAAAATTATCCTATTATTAATATTTTTTTTATAAGTATTTATTTTATTTTTTGTTTTGTTATGAGGTAGTTGATGGAAGGAAGAGAGAAATTTCTGACCTTAGACAAAGCAGCTTTGGACCAATTCTAAAGTTCTTTTAAAAAAGAGGAAACAACTTTAGACCAACAACATTAGACAAAGCAAAGCAAGAAACATATGTGTACGAGGCAAGAACAAGAAAAACCCGTGCATGATAAATTCAAGACTAATTTATTAATAGAAAATCCCATTAATGTTTGTTCTATGAAAAAACAATCATTTTGTCCCTTTCATATTTCTAGTGTTCTCATTTGTAACTTTCACTTATATATTCATTACTATTAAGGTTCATTATCATTAAAAATAATATTGGTTAATGTTTTTATTTGAAGTATTTCGAAATATAAAATATGAATCTATATATTCTAAGTTCACACGATCCAGACCAATATTCATTAACAATATTAAAAAAAAAATAATAAGAAAGTATTATACACATGATGTATAAATTCAATATTATATTATTAATATGTTGTTTTAAATTCTCAAAATTAAATAAAAGATTTTGTTATTTTTGAGGTATTTGTATATAAATTTATTTAATTTTCATTACATTCGAATCCATTTAAATAATTAATTAAATTTAGATTCAATATTCGAATCTAAATCTATTTAAATAAGCATTATCCGTTAAATATCTAAATCGTTAAAATATTCGATTATTTAAGTTTTTTTTATTAAAATATAAAATAAAAAAAATTAATTTTAAAATTCAAGTTCAATTTTAGTATATATAAAATAAAAGTTATTTGTTAACATTCAAAACTTTTCACAACTATAAAATTTTATATAATTTGCATATATGAATTAATAAGGAATTCAAATATTTGATACTATTTATTAAAATTTAAATAAATTTAGATATTTGATATTTGAGAAGTACTATCTAAATTCTATTAATATCCATCACAAATAGTAAACCTATTATCCAAAATCATAATTCTCCATTTATAAATTTTTTATCAGAACAGAAACAAATTAGATAATACCAAATATATGATTATTTAGTATATATTGCCATCTCTAAATGAAGTCCAAGAGAGAAGCAATCAATTAAATCTGATGAAATGGATGGAAAGGTGAAGCACGGTCAAAAGCTAAGCTCCTGTCTACCGTTATTTCCTCTGTCTTGACATCAATATACAAGCGAAATCGTGGAAACTGAGTTTCAGCACTTTCACTTTGTTGGCTAGATATTTCCTGCATGCTTTCATCTTTTGAATTTGTTTCATTTCATTCATACTTTTGCTTTAGATTTTCAGGTTAGGTGGACAATATTTTTACAACATGTGATATTACAACAGGTTTTGCAATAAAAAAAAAATGCACCAAACGGTATCAATATGACTAAACGATATCCCTTTTTCTTAATTGTTAATCTATTGGTGCCAGGATGACTAAACATTACTGTAGACCAAAGAATTTTATAAAGACAAAATTGTTACAGTAATTATTCTTTTCTCTGAATGCTTATTTAGAAAGAAACAATATGTATAAGGAATTTGATCGAGAGAACAAAAGGAAATTCATCGGAGAAAAATAAGAAGAAACAAACTTATTAATTAGAATTTTTCTAAAAAAAAAATGTTCCATTTAATTCCAAATAACATAGTTGAGTTAAATAATAAATCTTTGTAAGTTTTACTTCCCTTCAGAATCAAGTTTAATGAAATTTTTCACTTTTTTTTTTATTAGCGGAGAGGATTCTTTGTTACCAATATACATCACCTAACTTTGAGAAAATTTATTTATTTATTTATTTATTTTTTGTACAAATGCATAATATGAAATAAAAAGTGGGAATAAAGGAAAGAATATAGTGATAAAGATTAATTTACAAAAGTAAAACTATCAGCTTCATCATCATTGAAACCCATTATTCATTCTTTAAAATTCAAATGGACAACCAATAAATATGTTTGTCTTCCACCTATTTTGATTCAACTCTTATAGAAAAAGCTCAAACTCAAGATTTGTACAAACACGTGGTTGGAAAAATGCATTTGAACCTATCCCTTGATATCAAGGGAGATATATAACTACAATAACAGTATGTAATATGAAGTACTTGTCTATAAATACCGTGTATGCAAATCTTAAACTCCACAATCTTCCCTTCATTTTTTTTCCATAGAGAGCTAGCAAAACATGAAGAATCTTCATATCCTAATTCTACTCTTTTTGCCTACCTTATTTCTCTTCTCATGCTCTTTATCTCTTGTGTTATCTTTTTCCCCTTCTCATACTCATCTCCAAAAACAATGCCTTGATGACCAGAGATCTGCTCTGCTACAATTGCACCATGATCTTTATTATGCCCCCAATTTTACTTTCTCTTCCAAAGCTGAGCTTTGGGATCTCAACACTGATTGTTGCTTTTGGAAAGGAATTACATGTGATGTTATTGGTCATGTGATTGGGATTGATCTCAGTTATAGAGACCTTTCTGGCAGCTTTTACTCCATTTTCAAGCTCCATCATCTTCAACTCCTTAATCTTGCTGGAAACAATTTTAATACCGCTTTGTTTCAATATGAGTTTGATAGACTCCCAAATCTAACTCATCTCAACCTTTCAAACTCATGTTTCAATGGTCAAATTCCAATGGAGATTTCATACTTAACAAGGTTAGTCTCTCTTGATCTATCTAATCAAGATTCTTGCTATCTAAGATACCCACTGCCTTCTGGATTTAAACAACCTCTTAAACTAGAAAACCCAAATTTCAAGACATTCATCCAAAATTTGAAGCTACTTACAGAGCTATACTTGGATAGTGTGAACATTTCAACTCAAAGTACCGAATGGTGTCCAGCCACATCCATAGTTCTTGGTAACCTGCATGTGTTAAGTTTGTCAAATTGTGGTTTGACAGGTCCATTTTGTTCTTCACTCTTAAGACTTCCTTTTCTTTCCAAACTTTTCCTCGGTGGGAATTCAATCTCTTATTTACCTCCCAATTTCTTGGAAATTTCCTCTCCTTTGGTTTCTCTCAGTTTAGTGAATTGCAATTTGAGCGGGGATTTTCCAACAGAAGTTCTTTCGTTGCCAAAAATACAAAGCATTGACATTTCAGAAAATTACGCTCTCGGAGGTCAGTTGCCAGAATTTTCATTAAACAATGCTTTACGGATCTTAAAAATTTCTTCTACAAATTTCAGTGGAAAACTGCCAGAAACAATTGGTAATCTTAAGCTCTTGACAAATTTAGATCTCAGTTGGTGCAATTTCTTTGGACAAATTCCATCATCAATTGCAAATCTTACTAACCTTGTGGAACTGGATATATCCTATAACAATTTCAATGGTTTTATCCCTGCATTTCATAGATCTGGAGTTCCAAATCTTGCATATCTTCATTTGCAGGGGAACCACCTCTCTGGCTCAATTCCTTCTTCTTTATTTACTCTCCCATCATTGCATACCCTGTTTCTTGGGGAAAATCAATTGATTGGTGAAATTGGTGAGTTCCCCAATGCATCTTCCTCCTTGATTGAAGCATTGTCTTTAGGATACAATAGCTTTAGTTCCAAGAAGCTTGACATGTTTTTCCAACTCAAGAACTTAAGGCACCTTGACCTTTCCAACATGAGCTTATCAATTGAAAAGAACATCACAATCCTTACTTTTCCCCAATTAGAGGAGCTAGGCCTAAGTTCATGCAACCTTACTGAATTTCCAGAATTCATCAAAACACAAGACAAGTTGGCTTCTTTATATCTTTCTGACCACCAAATCCATGGTTTTATACCTAATTGGTTGTGGAAGACCACTCTTTCAACCTTATTCCTCTCTTTCAATGCAATTGATTTTCCAAAAGAGATTCCTTTTGGTGATGCAAACTTCTCTTTTCCAATGTTGAGATACTTAGGTTTACAATTCTGTAACCTAAGTATGTTTCCAGAGTTTTTAAAGAGTCAAAATAGTTTAGAATATCTTGACCTTTCAAATAACAAAATAAGTGGTGCAGTGCCAAATTGGGTGTGGAAGAAAAGTTTGTGGTATCTGGATCTTTCTAATAATTCTCTCTCATCTTTGGACCAATTTTCACTAAACCAATCTCTAACTTCTTCGCAAGGCTCTTTATCAAGATCTATTTGTAATTTGAGTCAACTTGAAAGGTTAAATGCATCTTATAACAAATTAAGCGGGCTTATCCCAAGTTGTTTTGGCAATATCAGAACTCTCGGCTATTTGGATCTACAAAAAAATAATTTTACCGGCAGCATACCAGATTTTGCAAAAGGCACCCAATTATTTTTGCTTCAACTCAATGACAATAAATTGGAAGGAAAGTTGCCAAGGTCATTAGTCAATTGCACATGGCTCGAAGTTTTAAACCTTGGAAACAATACTTTGTATGACACATTCCCATCGTGGTTGGGAAAATTGCCTCGGTTGGTGGTTCTTATATTGAGAGCAAATAGGTTTTATGGTCTAATTAAACATGTGAAAAATTATTTTCAAGACTTGGATGTGCTAGACGTTGCTTTCAATAATTTTTCTGGTCAATTACCAATTGAATTCTTTCAAGCCACTGAACTAAGGTCACTCATAATCAGTGGGAATAAATTGGAAGGGAAGTTGCCGAGTTCATTAGCCAATTGCAGAAATCTTGAAGTTTTGGACCTTTGAAAAAATATGATACAGGACACATTTCCTTCATGGTTGGTGAAATTGCCTTCTTTGAAAGTTCTTGTACTAAGAGCAAATAGATTTTATGGTCCAATTAAAATTTCTGAGGATGAAGATGCTTTCCCAGAGTTACACATACTGGACCTTGCTTCCAATAATTTTTCAGGTGAGTTATCTGTTGGATTTTTCCAATCTTTGAAGGCAATGAGAATGATGACTGATGGCAACAGAGCTAAGCCAGATTATATTGGAGATAATTACTACCAGGACTCTGTAACAATTGTGAATAAAGGGTTTGTAATGTTTTATGAGAAAATCTTAACCATCCTTATTTGTCTTGACCTTTCCAATAATAGTTTCCATGGGAGAATACCGGAAGAAATACAAAACCTCAAGTCACTCAAAGTGCTAAACTTATCCTTCAACAGCTTCCTTGGCCCAATTCCTTTAGCACTTGGAAACTTAACTGAGCTTGAGTCGTTGGACCTCTCCCAAAACAAACTCTCCGGAAGGATTCCTCTACAGCTTACAAGCCTAACATTTCTTGAAGTATTGAATCTCTCTTACAACCAACTTGAGGGAAGCATACCACAAAGCTACCAATTCGGTACATTTTCAAACGATTCTTACAAAGGGAATCCAAGATTATGTGGGCTGCCTCTGACAAGGAAATGCAATGAAGATGGTCCTGGAATGCCAACCCCTAAGGAAGATGCAGATTCATGGGTAGATGGTTTATCTGACAGGAAAATTGTGTTGATAGGGTATGGATGTGGATTGGTCATTGGATTATGTACTGGATATACAGTGCTGAATGAGTTGGGGAACAAATGGTTGGAAAGGTTTACACGGAATTGGAATCGAAAATGGAGAAGATCAAGGTGACTCAATCAAAATTCAAGTTTCAATGTCATTTGGTAAGCATTCTAGAATACTTAATAACTCAAAACTTTTGTTACTGATTCTGTGAACTGTAGCCAAATCAAATAAAATTATTTAAATGCTCTCTTATATTGTCATTTATCTGCACTAACTAACTAATAACTTATTAAAGTGATTGCATTCAAAATTTAATTCAAGAACATTTCAACTTTATGTCTCGTTCCCTTTTTGAAACTTGGTAAAAAAAATTGCCTGCAAACTAGGTTGTCCTTTGAATTTCCTAACCTCATTTTACAAATGAAAATTAATTTTCAAGTTAGTAATTTCTACAAGACCTGTGGGTGACTGGTATTTTGAGTTAGATTGGGCTGTCAGCCATTTTAAGGGCAAAGTTTTGGCATTTATTTTCCTTAGATTGGCTTGGAATGCTCACATATATTTTATTTGGCAGGAGCACAATAGAAGGAAGTTTGGCAGGCCTTCTAGATATATAGAAGCTATTGTTTCAGCTATCAAAAGTTCCTTTTGGCTTCGATTCAATAACAGGATTGCAGTCTCCAGTTCCACTCTTCCTTTTCAACAACAGAAATTGTGCCTGAATGTTTTTGGCCTGGTGTTATGGTATCTGTGTCTCAGTTCTTTCTCTTATGCTCGCCTAGGATGATTGGCGGTAATGTCTGGTTGTATTGTGCTCCTCTTCTGTTCTATCTATAGGGTGGTGTTCTACTGCTGAGTTATGAGGTTCCCCTGTTGTGTAACTCTGTTTTTATTAATAAATTTCTGGCTTAGCAAAAAAATGTGTCTGAATTGGGGACTGGTTCCTTAATGTTGCTTAGTTTGATTACTTTGCAAAAGTTAGACTCTTTTGTTAATTAGTTTGCTTTATTTGCTAGTTCTTGGAAGTTTGTAACGTTGGCTTGCTGTTTACTTGTAGCATACCTACTGCTTTTTTTGGATTAATAAAAATCATTTATCCAAAATAAATTCTTAACAAGAATCTTATCGTCTTTTAAACTCTTTATTATTGTTATACCTAAGTGGTCGTGTCAGCAGCCACATAGTAGATCTTACACATGAGAGCCCAGTTTGCTATGTCGTCATCTAAGAAGCATCCAGAGCAGACAGGTGATTCACAGTTGAACTCACTTTACTCTCTTTAACTGCTTCCTACTCTCTCTCATTTACTTGCTTATGGTATACCTTACTAACTTGAGCATCCGAGAATGTCTCAAAATAATATCTTCAGCACACTCGACTTTCTACTCTGTGACAGGTCACACATACTCTCCTTCTCAACCTCTAGTAAAACTTTTGACTATCAGACCAGAAATTACATCAACAATATCAATTATTCAACTCAACTATTTGCAGTGCAGGTTTAATACAAGCCATGGCATGTACAACAATGACTACTCCTACCACTTTAACTGCCAAAACTAGAAGTTACATCTCCTAATACAGAAAAATCTTCACAGATCAAGCTCAAGCTAAGATGCTTTATTCCTGTATTATCTGCTACATCACTACAGAGAAGAAAAACACTGAAAAGAAAAGAAGAAAGCTTTCAGTTCCAGGTATCAAGCTCGACAATTCCAAAGTAACTTCGATGGTATTTTATTATCTCTAACAACTATAGATTTGACTATGGCGAGAAAGATATGTGAATGCTAAACTTAAATTATTATGTGGACTTGATTAATTGATTTAATTTTATCTTTAAAAGCTTAAACAGCTTATCTGTTTCTTACAAAACTGATGTTTCGGCTGCATCTTTTGTCTAGTGAGAAGCAAGAATGACCATTGTATTTGAAAGTGAAAACCATCCAAGGTGGGACATTGAACTATGGAAAAACTAAGAAATAAAACTGTATGAAAAACTAAGAGTAAAACTGAATGTATATTGAAAAACTGCTCATGAAGAATTATACAAGCACCATAGATTTATATACAACTAACTGGTGGGTAAACTAGGAAACTAAATCTTCCAAAAAACTGATCCTATAATTGAGGGATTATTTATCCTAATTTTTTGTCCTTAATTATAGGGATATAAATACTTAATTCTAGAGATACAAATATAAATATACAGATTATAAGATTACAATCAGCTGTAAATAAGTGTTTTTCCACAAGAACATTTGTATCAAGTAATAGAAGAGATCACTAGTTTGAACAGAAAAACGCAAGAGGCACCAAAGCATCTTGGTTGTTTGGATGATGAACTTATATGTACTCACTTCTCTAGAATTCCAGTGAATCCTTTCAGTAACTTATTCTCTATCTAATAGAAATAAAGCATCATAACTAAATAGCCAATATTCACGTTGATGTGCCAAGTGTTCTGATATAGCCACTAATCCATAATTAACAGATGAAGTTATAGAAGACATGCTATGTTTCAATCACTGGTCATTTTAAAGTTAGTTTTTTCTTTAGTAGTCAGCTTGATGCTGTAAACCAGGAAGGTTGTCAAGCCTTCTGATATTTAGCCTATTTTGAGCATTAGCTCAGAATTTATGTTTAGAAGATTTTGCAGGTAAAATGATATTTGATGACTTTGTGGTTGACAAAAGCCAAATTGGACAGAGTGATTACGCATATATAAAGACTTTGCCACTAGAGGCTTTCTCATACAACTGTCCTTCCCATGCAGCCCTAAGATCTTGCTCTTTTAAATCCATCTCCAACTAGAACTGTAAGTATCAACTAGAAAAATACTTTATTCTCATGAATTGGCCGTTTTAAAATTTTACAGGGAAAAAAGAAAAAAAACTCATGCTAAAACAGAAAAATTTAGAGGGAAAAAAGGAAACAAAAGGTCATGCTAAAAATTTTTTGTCTATACAACTACTGCTAAGAGCCAAAGATTAATATTTCTTGAGTTTAAGTTTAGGTTTGCTAGCTGATTTCACTTTTTTTTTTTTTTGGGGTCTTGAATGCAGGAACTGTATTTTTCCAGGAAGAAAACTGATCATTAATGTTTTCTATGCCTTGGATTTGGACAGCACAAAAAATCTCAGCTTCCATTAGCCCCCTACCCATTTGAAACTACCTGCAATCCAACATTCTTAAACTCTTTGAAGTAACATCCTAGATCCTACCAGTATGTGTCATCGAGACCTGGATTCTGATCTGATCAAGTTGAATTCTTGGCCATTACAAAGGTTGTGAAGTTGGATGCCGATTCTTGGAAAGTTAATACTGGATTGGACTGCTATCTCAAGGTAGAAGAAACGCTACTTCATGGGTAAAAGGTAGCAATAGGGTTTGTTGGCATATTAGGAAAGCCAGTTTTGTATATAAATTACAAGTTTTACAATTGTCTACTCATTCAGTTGTTTTCGACAACTCTTGCAACTTCATGTAAAAACCTAATTCTTACTCTGCTTAATACAATCACTCAACTCATAAGTCAGTTGTGGAATGCTGCAGAAAATGCTTACCTAAATACTAATGCACATGCCTGCAGCAACAATGATTCTAAAGGGCTCATCATTCCAAAATTCCCCCAGCTCAAGCACGGAAATAAAAGTGTTCATGGCAACAGGAGTTGAAGCAAAGCATCAATGGACTTATCGTTTACCCTCTTCAGCCATCTGTCTACGTATCTCATGTGCAGTGTTGAAAATGCCAAGGGTGAGTTGGCTGCATGCAAAGCGCTTCGCATTCTTTGCATGATGCTGAAAAAAGAAAAACAAAAGATGCAATTGGTCAGTTTACATTCAAATGAAAATAATAATGTAAACCATATTGACATGAGACACCAAAAGTTGAAGAAGTACAGTGCAAACATGTCCTATTTCTATACCAGAAAAAAAAAAAAAAAAAAGAAAGTTTGACCACATAAAATATTCTTTGTATGTCAGTAACCAAAAAAGTTTACCATCTAAGTAATGCATTCACAACAAATATAACAAAAACTAATAGATATTAACCTAGAACAAAAAGACATTAAATAAAATTACTCTATATGAAAGGGCATATGAGGGGACCTTTAAAGCACAATGCTCACAGAAATAGTGCTTGCACTTAGTAACAACACGATCCACAAAAGGATGCAGGCAAATAAAACTTGCAAAGGGCAACGAATCATCATCATCATCATCACTCTGGTCTAACCCTGCCTCATCATCATCATTGCCACCCAAAGCCAGATTTCTCTTCCTTGCTTTCTCTGCTTCTTCCTGGTCCTTCTCTAACTGCCATCCAGACTTGTAATCTCCACGATCATGCATAAACTTACATGAATCTCCATAACCACGGTGACCAGTTTCTTTGTAGTCTTTACAGATGTCAGGCTGATAATCAAATCTCGCTGAAATCCTGATGTGGGCAGAAGCACTAAGAGGTCCATGTGAGCCACCAGCTTTCTCACTAGCAACTGTTTGCTCTCTTCGAAACCCAGCCTTATGATCCACATAGCCATGCATTCCTTTATACAACTTCTATCTGCCAGAGCTTGTGCTTTTCCCCTTCAAAGCCTCCTCTGCTCGTTTAAGAACTTTCTCACGTATAGTGCGAGCATCTTTTGTAAACTCAGTTTCAGTTTCTAAGGTTGCCGTAGCTCTGCTATCATTTTGAACTTGAATTTCCTTCGAAGACAAATTGAAAAATCGATTTGATTCAGTGGAAGCAGCACTCCTGGAGGATCCAGTTGAAAAGTATAACTTATTGTCAGGCTTCAAAGCCTTGTTCTGATTGTGCAACAGAAATTTGCCATTTCTGGAATCTTCATCTTCATCTTCATTTATTGTCCTTTTCCTTATGTTTTTGCCCTTTGGCTTCCTGAAAAAAATTGCAGACTGAATAATCAAAGAGTTAGCTGCATAAGTAAATATACATTTATACATTTAAAAAGAATAAGAAAAAAAGGAACAAATTTTACCTAGTTCAGATTGTTGAGGTGCTTTTCCTGGATAATAGGGCTCGCTTGAATCTGTCATCTTAACAAAAACAAGAGCAAAAGTTTTATAGATTCCTTGCCTCAAGCATGATGAACTTCAAATTGTTTACAACTGCTGCTTCAATCGCTTGAAAGAAGGTTTTAAACTAAGTGAGTCAAAATCCTTATTACTATTAATTAAGGTAATGAATGATACATGATCAACAAACTAACTGGTGTCATAACTAGATAAGACAAGCTTTCTCTCATGAAAGGCTAAATGCTCAATTAGTATGAATCGACCTTCATCAAACAGCTTTGCATGTTTAATGGCCTTCATCAAGAATACAGTTGTTCATCCTGTTAACCCACTGAGGAGCACATTGTACGGCCCAACATACAGATGGCTGTGCTCCGCATGTAGCAGGGGAAGCAAAATTCCTATGTACTCAGAACAATTTCCTAAGAGAAGAGAATTTTAAAAAGCTAATCAAAATTAAAGAGATTTTTAACAAAATGAAACCTCATGAAATACAGGGTAATGGGTAGAATCCATAGAATCTCTAAGGTAAACATCACCGGTTATAGGTAAATGAGTGTGGCCCATTCTCAACGTGTCTGCTTGATGAGCACTTGTATGACACCTCAGTACAGTTTGAGAGTCAACATAATATGTATCATTATAGCCACCGCTTACATGATCAGCAGGCACCAGTACATCATCAAAATTCAGCAAAAAGAAGATTTACTGTTATAAAAAAAAATTCTTAAAAACATTATCCAAGGATCCAAAATAAATAAAATGATCCAACATATATTGTGTATACATATATTGTGGAACAACAACATGCTTTAATGGGCCATATGTAGGGAGAGTGAAATATCTATAACCTTAACATTTGATAAAAAATATTCACTCCCTTGCACTCACTAATCCACCCACACTCAGACACAGAGGTTCAAGCCTCCATAGTAACATATGTAATCCCAAGTTAATAGACAACCTTTGGTGATCTATGAAAGCCCATATGGATACAAATTAACATACCTTTTTTATTTTAATTTTTCAAAGATCCTAGACCAATTATTCTAAAACAGAGCACAAGATTGATTGTACAAAATATTTAAACTCAAAAGCTGTTCCTTTGTTATCCAATAGTATTTGCCAATTCAGAGGAACATAAAAGAGGAAAAGAAAAAAAATAGGGCACTAGTGGACAAACATTTTAC